CGTTGGGGGGGGGAAAGGGAGTGTGCCGCGCTGCCGCAAAGCGCGCCGCCACACTGCTGCAAAGCGCGGGGGTGGGCCCGCTACCGCCAAGTGCTGCGGGAGGGGTGGGTGTGCGCCTGCGCGGGCGGGCCCGGAAGTGCACTGCGCATGCGTGAGAGCTAGGCCGCATTGGTGCGTGCAAGGGGCAGGCAGGCTGCAGGGCGTGCGTGTAATGGGTCAGGGGCACAAGCAGCTCGTCCCCTCCCTTTGCATTCCTGGAGGGAGTCATTTCTCTGAGTTCCTGTCTTTTGAGTGAAAGGAGTGGGGCTGGGGGGGGAGCTGTAGAGTCCCCCTCTTCCCCAGGCCTGTGCAGCTCCCCTGCAAAGCTCTTCCTTCACCCTGCTAGCATTAAATACTCGAGCACCTGCATCGCTCCTGCCCTCCCGAGCGCTGCTTTGCAGCTGGCGTGCCCCAGGGTGCATAAATGAATGCTCTCATCTGCTACAGAAAAGGGACGTGGGTGCAATTTATTCATTCACAGAAATGGCAGGGCAGCCCGGCTGCAAGGGACCTCCAGAGGTTGTCTAGTGCAGCCGTACCTGAGGCAGGATTGTGCCTATCCGAACCATCCTATACACATCTATAGTTATATTTTGGCACCCGTTGATCCGTTCTGGATCGTGGTGTATATGCATGGCGGGTCACCCAGCCCTTTGATGCGTGTGCCTAGACTGGAGGCTTTGCTTTTTAGGAGGAGTGGAGGCTGCCCAGACCTCCCATCCTCTCTCTAGGACACTGAGACAAAATCCAAAGGCCAGACAACTGAGTCCAGATGTTTGGTGCCTCCGTGGCTGTTGCAAATCTACAAACTCCTCATAAAAACCATCATCCACCATATTTATCATGTTCCTTTATGTGATGTATACGCTTTCCCAGCAAAGGCTGAGGGCGGCTTGCAGTAAGAAAACAGAATAACTTACAAACAGGAGAACAACAAGAAAACAAAGCAAATTAAGAGGATGTTAGGATGTCAACATAAAACAGCTTCCTCCTCCCTGCCCTCCAACACAGCAAACAATATCCCAGCCTGGCTTTGCTTGCTGAATGCCTGCCTACTAGGAAGGTTTTACAGGGCATCTGAAAGATATCCAGGTTTGGGCTCTGGAGGGAGTTTCAGACCCGAGGATGCACTGCTGGGGCCGATTCTATAAGCCCTCCCTCCATAGGTGCTGCATTGTTGGCTCAGCACATTAGGAAACTGCATGGAAAAATAACCCTGTGCAGGAGTTAATTCTTGCTTCTAAGGGGAAGCTGAAGCACAAAGTGAGATGATTTCCCGAAGCCAACCAAGTTTACAACCAGGGTCTTCAGATCAGGTCTCATAAGGAGCTTGGCAAGCCTAGGCTTGTGGGATTGGGCCCTACAGCATGACGGATAACACCTGACTTGGGTTTGTTCAAAGGTTCTTCCGATTGCACTGACATCACTACTTTTTTAGAAATACGAATATTTGAGAAAGTCCCTTGGTGTCATCTGCAATTATAAAACAGGTGGCCGAAACTCAATGCACGTGACTAATTGTAGTCAGAATGCAAAAGACTAATGCCATTTAATTATAATTAATTTAGGACCTGACCTTGAGATTAGTAAACTATAGCCAGGTAGCACTGTCAGCAGTCCCTGTGAAGTCAACAGGAATGAGCACACTTTAAGCATTTATCAAAGCACGTGAGCAGCAGCACCGCTGGCTCTAATGACCGTTGGGCACTAGAATGATGTGTCGTCAAATGCATATTAAATACTCAGGCGAGGTTCTTTGGGTTGATGGGATATCTTTTATTAGACCAACTGAGTAGTTGGAAAAAAGTTCTTAGCAAGCTTTTGGGAGCAGTCACCCTTCTTCAGGTTTATTAAATACTGTACTTTTCGCACTTGGAAAGCTGCAGAAAGTATATGCATTGGTCGTGAATGCACAGCTGCAGTTTTTTCCCCTGCCTTGGACTGTTGTAATTGGAATTAGGGTGAAAGTAATACAAGCTCACAAGAAAACAGCCAATGCAGAGGGAAGGAGCATGCAATAGAAAAGCTGGGCTGCGTAGTCTTTCATATGTGTCGCTGCTCTTCCAGATGGTTGAGGTGCTAAAATAAAGATGAAAATATCTGATCAGTTCTGAGCTGCTGCACGCAATGAATCCCTTCCTAGGTCTCATGCAACTTCCCTGCCTCCTAATAGTTTTCCCATAACCGCCGTTTGGAAAGCGTCCCAGCGGGGAGCTGTGTCGGCAGTGCAATAGACTCCCAAGGAAAGGGGTGTGAAATCCATCTGTTGAGTCACTTAAAATTAGACTGTACAAAGCACCGGGAAATATGCTCTCGGAGATGGACTGGATGCAATCCAGTGGGGCTTTTCCAAGAAATGAACTGAACACCAGGGAAATTTGTCCCAGGAGACTTCATCTAAAAACATCCTTTTGCACGTGTCTTCCCTAGGAAGGGCCGCTATTTAAAAAAAAATATATATATTTTTGCACGCTTGAGCTAGGCAAACAAGCGTTTAATATGTGGCTGCACGGCAGGCACGCTTGTAATTAATCAGCATTAGGCAGAGCCCAATGGGTAGCTTTTGAGCCCTCTATTTCACCAGAACGCTTGCTGCTTTTGCCGCGAACTCACTCACCTGTGGGAATATGTATAAAGCCATGAGGGGTTGGGTCTGGCAGACCTGCTGCAAGATGAAGTCCTAATGAATGCACCTCCGATTGCTTGTGTGACTGGGCCCAAGCTTTCACCACCGGCTGATCAGCTAAATGGTTCAGGTCTGGAAGATTAACTCCTAGCAAATCTTTCAGATCTTGAGGGCTCAATTTCTACAGCAGAAGAGAGGCAAACCTGGGTTCATTAATGTGAAGAACGCCAGGTGGAAGAGTTGCATAGCTAATAAATAATACACAGGCAGCATTAGCAACCCACAGGTAAGATACAGGCAGCTGTAAGTTCAAGTACAGCTTCATTCCTGCTCTGTGTCTCTGTGCTGAGCTCTGGGCCCCAGCATAGATAGATAGATATCCAGCACTGCCTCACTTCTGCCCCACGGGCTGGTTTATTGTGGGATCTTGCATAGTTTTGCCAGTAAAGGCTCGCTGCGTGGGACACCCCACAAGTCTGAGGTTGGGTCTGCTTTGCCTTCGGTGCATTAACTCTTGATACTGTCACATTCAGTAATTCCCTCTTGTTACTGCACCAAAACCTTGCCCCATTTCTCATGCTGGCCATGGCCTTCCTGCATGCAAGGAACCGCTGGAAATAGGCAATGCTTTCCCAAAATCTCAGCATGTCTTGGCTGATCTCTGCGACCTGCCATTTCACAATATTGTGCAAACAGGTTAAGACATCGATCTATGATACTATGATCTCCATGGGTGGATTTCCGCATCTGTTATAATTAATGAGAAGCCTCCTGGAATAGATACGAAACATCATGCTTCGGGGCAGCTGCCACCAGGCTCGTGGTTAGAGATCTGATGCTAAGGGAAGACTGTTGGTGCCCCTGTGAAGTCTGGTATTAATTGTAGTCAGAGACAGGATCCTGAGCTAGCTGGACCTTGGGTCTGGCTGTTGCTAGCTTGGCAGATGTATGCATGGGGCTATCATCTGCTTGAGACTCAGTTGGAAAGCCCAAGAGAAAATGTCACGGGAGTTTATGGTTTCGATGGGATCGGGAGTGCTGGTTTTGTTTTGTCTTAGAAAAAACACCTGCAGAGCGAGCAGCGATGACTACCTGCTACCCACATACCTGCACTTCATCTGGATTGAGGCCTATAAATACATCCGTGGCCATGACAGGGTGGCCGGAGGCAAATCGGATCAGGTCCTGGGCGGAGGCTCCACCTTTAAATGAGGGAAAGCAGTTGCATTTAATGGCTGAGATCCAGCAAAACCTGCCGTGTTGCTCAGCCGCTTGGGACTGTGCTTATTTTATGTTAGAAAATGGCACCGTAACGGAAGAAAGGAACAGGTATATCGGGCATGAGTCTGGACCCAAAATGTTCCTTCTCTGAAGTGTTTATAACCCGGGGCCTCTGGAAGTGAGATGTGTGGCTGCATCCAAACCCCGCTCAGCCTTGCTGGTCTGGGGACCACGGGGGTGTCTGTTGCCTGGGGCTTTGCATAGGAGCAAGCTCAGCAGCTGCCAGTCGAGCCCTTTCACTGCAATGGGACTCACCGATAACCGGCTTTAGGAGCTGGTAATAGGCATCTGAGGAGCTCTGGTGCTCCTGGTAAGTGGCTCTCAGGAGGTCGTAGAGGAGACTCTTCCTGCGCTGGGAGCACTGTGAGACGTTCATGGGTGCGCTGATCTCTCTGCAGAGGAAGGGGCTTTTGAGATTTAGTGTTTCTTTTTAAACAGTTGGAGCGATCAGCATTTGCACAGGTGGATAAGATGTACTGCAGGGAACCACAAGCCTGGGAGAGGAGTGGCCCAGTGGTCGTATTGCTGGGAGGCCCAGCTGTGATTTTCACCTCTGCCACAGACTTCACCTGTGACCTCAGGCAGGTTACTTTGCCTTTGGGCCTCAGTCCCCACCTGGCAAATGGGC